TAGGACAACCAAAGAGTGGGAAGGAAAACAGAGATACAGAGAGTTTAAGTGACTTGCCCAAGACCAGTCAGTAGGCCAGTGGCAGCGCCAGAGTTAGAACCCCAGGTCTTCTGACTCTTACTTCAGTGCCCTACCCACTAGGCATCATCACCAGAATAAGGAATGAGACTCTTATCTTGTAATGGACTCTGCAAGCATGGACCACAATGCTATCAGATCCCTTTGCAGGATCAAGACCTGAGGAAAGGCCTTAAGGTTTGGCCTGCATCGAATACAATATACGTGCACCATAAGTATTCGCGATTACTAACGCATCAGTAGCACTAGTTCTTCATTCTCCAGCATCCTTTGTGCAAGGCAGAAAGGGCAAAGTCCACAGAAATCACCGCGTACATAGAAAACCCTCTTTTCAGGGAATGAGGCAGAGCTAGTGATCTGAGGTCATGAACTTCACACTAGCTAATGCGATGGCCACGGCTGGGCTGGCCCCAGCTCAAAGGAAAGGTGCTGCTGCTCTGTGTCTGTCTAATGGGCGAGAGCTGTTTTAGGGTAGATTCAATTCACTCTGGCAGATTTGGGATACTTAGCAAGAGAGTAAACAATAGGAGTTAGGCAAACTGCTGGGCAATTCATCTCACTTCTGTCTGACTCGGTGTGCTATTCTGCAAGGTGCTGGGCAACCCAGAAAAGTTGTGGGTGCTCGGTTTTTTGCAGGACATGCTCAGCCCTTTGCAGTTCGGGCCCTGTATTTCCAGCCATAGTTCTTCTGTTCTAAGCTCATAGTTCCAGTTATTATGAAGTGAAGTGCGATGCTTTCTTTGGTCAGTTTCCTGAGGATCTTCCCTGGAAATGAAAAGGTCGCATTGTCTTGGTGATGGCTGTCAGTGGACCCAGACACAAAGCGCTTATAATATCCTCAGACATGGAGAGAGGCAACTGTTTGCTTTCACTGACAAACCTCTAGAGTAAAACCCTGGCAAAATGTTCCCAGAATATAGTTCTGACAATGCAGCAATCACACTGGGAAGATTTCCGGTGACTTCAATTGGCTTTGGATCAGGCCCCAGGCTGTGGAGATAGTTAGATTTTAAAAGGAGATGTAATAGTAGCTGCTCTAAGGCTAAACAAGTAACAGGAATGACCGTGGATAGATCTAAAGCAAAACTTACTGGCAGAATTCATGGGCTAGCCAACGGTGGTCAGTGTTACTCAGTAAGGCTATCAGACAAAACCTGTTCAAATTTTTCCAAGACGAGATGGTCTCCAATTCATCGATAGTAAAGTGGACACAGTAGTAGTGAGGGTAGATGGAAATTGCGTTGAAATCCTAGCTATCAAGAACAAGATGAAAAACTCTAATGAGGGCCAAGACAAGCAGCAATAGCCTAGAGCTAGGAATGTTATTGCTTTAGATCACTGACTCATAAGTGGCAAATGTCCAGGATGTGATGAAATCTATCCATAACACAGAAATCCAAAAAGGCATGAGAAGTTTACCAGGAGGAAGTGGCTGGCTGTCAACCTAACCAGGGTGACTGGACAGTCTGTCAAGGCAAGAAGTGAAGGATGATGTGTGCCCTTAAGCAAGTATCCCATATGGTGCTGCGGATCCAAATTTGGCCAGGAATAGTTATAATGAAAGAGGACCATGAAATACATTTTGTAATGTGTGTAGTAATAGCACTAGGTTTTTACCCTGTGTATTCATCATCCGCACAATAAATTGATAATGCTACTTTTACACCTTTTTGTTGCACTCTATGGCTGTGTCACTGTTAGCCTCTTTTCTGTAAGACTTCCCAACATTGTTACCACCAGTGACGCTCCACCAATAGTAGTTTCAGGGAAATGCTATCATAGACCAGCCACCAGTACGCTAACCACGGTCTCATCTAACTTTGCTCAAAGTAGATCTAGCTCACACAGTGGCTACAAGACCTGTGGTCGCCATAGCCGGGTTACCCTAATGTTCCCACTCTTTTCACCACCAAAAGCCATGATTAGGGCCCTGCCAAATTAACGGTCCATTTCGGTCAATTTCATGGTCATAGGATTTTAAAAATAGTTAATTTCATGATTTCAGCTATTTAAATCTGGAATTTCACAGTGTTGTAATTGTAGGGGTCCTGACCCAAAAAGGAGTTGTTGGGGGGAGGGGCAAGGTTATTGTAGGGGGGGTTGTGGTACTGCTACCCTTACTTTTGTGCTGCTGCTGGCAGCAGCGCTGCCTTCAGAGCTGGGCAGCTGCTGGCCGGGAGCCCAACTCTGAAGGCAGAGCTCTGCCAGCAGCAGCGCAGAAGTCAGGATGGCATGGTATGGTATTGCCACCCTTATTTCTGCCCTACTGCCTGCAGTGCTGGGCCCTCAGTCAACAGCCGCCACTCTCTGGCCAGCGAGCTCTGAAGGCAGCAGCACAGAAGTAAGCATGGCAATACTGCAACCCCCCTAAAATAACCTTGTGCCCCCCCCCCCCCCTTGCAACTCCCTTTTGCATCAGGAATGCCAATTTGAGAAACACTGGTCTCCCTCATGAAATCTATATAGTATAGGATAAAAACACACAAAAGACCAGATTTCACAGGGAGAGACCAGATTTCACACACTTTTGTATTTACTTACAGTTGCACCTTCCAAGATTCTTCACCCTAATAAGGATCAGAGCCTAAGAACCATTGGGTCCTTTCAACAGACAAGTGAAAGCTAACAAAATGCATGTGGGGGTAGTACCAAGACAGGTCTTATAAAGGCAGCACTCAAACTGTGAGTACAAATTGTCCCTCTTCATATTTCTAGATTCTAGATACAGTGTGGGGTGAGAGATGAATTTTTACCCCAGCATAACAGGACCAAGACCAAGTTCTTCCATGTATAATTAAGCTGATTATCTTGAATGCAATGCAAGAAGCTGTACAGAAAGTTGCTAGACACCTTCACATTTCAACCTGGATTTTCCAAACAGCCTAAGGGAGTTGTGGAGTTCCATGGGATTTGTGCACCTTTGAAAAATCCCATCCCTAATGAAATTTAAAAGAAAGAACTTGTGCCTAGCAATAGAAGCACTGGAGAAGCTAAGCAACCCAACTACATCCTATAACCATTGAGGGGCACATCTTTTTAAAAAGCAGGCCCATTTTATTCAGTGGTACAGCATGACGCAGCACGCAAAGGTGTAGAAATCACACAGTGTAAGTGACACGTCAATAGATTTATGCCAGAAAGGTCAGCGATGGCCAATGCAGTTGCTTTTTTTGTCCCCCAAAGCAAATTTGACAGTTTATAAATTATACAGTACCTGCCTTAAACCAACTTAAAAGACAGTAATTGTATTTATTATAATCACTCAGTACATGAATCACCTTGAACTTCAAAAAAAAAATAAGCAGTGGGCTGTGCATAAAAATAGCGCTGCTATAGAAAGGAGGGTAGCATAGAAAACAGAGATGGAAAAGACCAATTATTCGCCTTACCTAACCATTTCCCCTCCAACCCACCAGTAGCTAATGACCACAGTATATTGAGATCAGACTAGATCATCATAATGGTCTCTACTGGCCGTAAAGTCTATGGGATGCTGGCTCCATGGAAATTAGCAGATCCAGGATTTTACCCTAGGAACCTATATTCTCCAATGCTTTGTCCAGCTGTAAGTCATTCAAATGACTAGGCTTCCACCCCTTTCCTTTGGAGACCTTTCACCAGTCTAATGGATCTCATTGTTAAGGACATTTTTCTCTGAAATCCTTCGTACATTTTCTAAAAGTAAAATTCACTCTTGTGCAGAAGCCTGTGCCTCATTCAAGCCCTGTTTTGAGGGCTTCAGTGGTATTTAAGTCATGTGATGGGGCCTTTTGCACAAAGGTCAGTTTCACCCTAATCGAGCAAGGACTGTACTTTATTAGTAATTGGACAACAGCTACCAAAAAAAAAGGGGGGGGGCCCCTACAGCTTTGGAATTCGCTCTCCTCCCCTTGTCTAAAATAGCCCAAGGCTGAGGAACATCAGGGCATGTTGCAAACCTGGGAACTGTAAAGATGGGGAATCAATGGCAGGAAAAGGATTGGAGTTGAAGTTGCCTGGCTCACTTGTACAGCTGCACTCAAGGAGTATTATAAAGTAGTGTCAAAGGGACCTAGAGTATGTGGATGGGCATTTTTTAGTATTTCTATACATCTAAATAAACTAACCGTATTCAGATAAATCAATAAGGGCCAGATTCTGCCACCTTTACTCACATAAGTAGCAAATCACTCTTCAAGCAGTCCCCTTGTAATCAATGGGACTACTCATGGAGTAAGATACCATTCAAAAGGAGTAAGTGTAGCACAGTACGACTGTGTGATTGTCACTAACTACTGTCATCCTAGCCAGCCAATCTGAATCCTTATACTCTACAAGAACATGCTACTCAGCAAACCCATATTACTGACTCGAAATTAAAAGGGAACAAATGAATCAGTTTCACATGCTTGCAAATCAAGGACTTTCACGTCTTATTCTATACATATATGCAAAATACACCAAAAGGCTGGATCATGGACTGGAGAGGACATAAATCAAAAGGAAAGACAGTGGTTGAAAAAATGAACTGACTTAATAGTTTGTTGGGAAGAGTTGGTACTCTCTTTTTAATTAAATATTGCACACCCCAGTGTTGGACATACAACTTTCCAGAATGGAAATGTTTAGACCACCTTTGTTTAGCTAATAAAACCTGGTTTTGCTGATCTAAGATTTACCGGTTAGTAAGCTTCTTCCAAGCTTGCATACACAGCAGGCAAGATTCTGATTTGAATTACACTACTGCAAACCCACTGACGTTAACCAAGTGGTTTGGAATTTACACCAACGTACCTGAGAGCAGAATCTGGTTCACTGATTGAAAACCAGAGGGAAAACTAGTTGATCAGAAACCCAAGTTCTCTGGATCTGCAAATATGGTCCCCTATTTAGGAGTATCACACAAATATGGCTTTATATCAGAGAAAATTCTGGTTACTTACTTGATCTTCAGACTGGCGAGCATTTTTTTGTCAATCCTGAAAAAAAAGAAAAGAGTGTGTTAAGTATCCAATGGGTTTTTTGATCTGTTAGTCAATTTTATCAGCAGCCCTTGGGTCTCCTAAGAACACAAAGTGCATGAGGAAAAAGACATTCTAGAATGTCTATCTCAACATTCTCCTTTGGAAGTTTCATTTATCTGACCAGAGTGAGGTTCATTGGTGCAAAGCCTTGACCATGAACAGCTCATTGAAATCCCAAAACAGAACATGCTGCTCAATTACACCATAAAGCAAGTAACACAATATCCCACACAACATGAGTTGTTTACGGATTGTATTTATTTCAAAAGTATCTTTGTGTCATTTAACACACTAAACACCACAACTCAGAGCCTTAAACAAATCCTTCCAGCAGTAACAGGCAGCAGTAGATTTGTGGATGCACAACTCAATAGTAAAAATAGATTTTCTCTATATTTCTATGGAGAATGAAGGTCCCATTGAGTGACTGTTCCCCAGAACTGATGTTCCTAACCTGTGATTGGTTGTCATTTCATACCCTGACCGGTAATGGTCCACTTAAGTCCAACTATATTGCTATATATTCTGTAAAGTAGTTCTTCTCATCTGCAAGTCTCAAAGCTCTTTACGAAGGAGGAAGAATCATTTCATAGGTGGGGAAGTTGAGGCACAAGGAGGTAAAGTGATTTGCCTCAGGTCACCCAGCAGGCTAGTAGCAGAGGCAGGAATGGAACCCAGGTCTCATACAACCCAGGGCCTAGTCTGCAGGATTGGGAGCCTCCCAACAGTGCACATTTTCTCAGGCACTGACTACAACCAGTGCGACGTGAGACACAAATTCACACTCATGGTTGAATGATGAAAGGCAGAGACACTATATCCTATAGGAGACCCACTCAAAGTGCTCTGAGATCCACAGACAAAAGGTGACACATTGTATACATACAACAAAGTACTGTCAAATTGTAGCTGGAGTCTGATTCTAGTGGTTTACAAGATCCCAAGCTATTATCTATTTATTTAGTACTTTTAATAAGTGTCTATCTCCATGGAGCCCTTATTATTAAAATAATTGTGATGCTATGCTACATATTCTTTATGAAAATATGCTTATAATATGGATATGACATAACAGATATACTTTATGCAAGATGGGTCTTGTAAGGGATCATTGGAAAGGTTATGATTTATTGAATGTGATTATCCAATTTGTATGCATCATTTCTGTATCTAAAATTAAGAATATGGACTATGTAACAATTACAACTGGGTGTGTATTGGGGAGACACCTACCAGAGGACAGGCCTTCATATTTGATGGGCCCTCAGGAAGGAACAACTAGACCATGAAGATACTAATCTCTCTCCCTCCCGGGAGGCATCCGGGGATGTAACTGTGACACTACTAGGTCAGGTGGTCTTGTCACCTGATGCTAAACATTATCTGGGACTTCTTGTCACTTTCCATTGAAAGGGAAGGGGGGGGGTCAAGTTTGGGAAACAAAGGATTCCCACCTTATGCACATCTTATTTAAGGGTGGGAAGGAAAGCAAACTCCTCTCTATGTCCTGTCTGCCCAAGAAGAAAGATGGCAAAAGACACCTGAAGGGAAGGCAAGGGGAGAGTCCAGACTGAGACAGAGGTCCAGTCTGAAAAGAAATATAGCTGGAACTCTAAACCACAGAAACTTTGCAACCTGCCTAAAATAACATTTAGGGAAAGATATTATATTTTGTAACCTGTTTCTTAAGTATATGGAACTTAACTTGCGTATTTTGTTTTATTTGCTCAGTAATCTGCTTTGTTCTGTCTGTTAGCACTTATATTCACTTAAAATTCATCTTTTGTCGTTAATAAACTTATTTTGTTTATTATTAAGCCCAGTTTATGTAATTTATAACGGGGCAGGAGGGGTTAAGAAGTCATGCATATCTCTCTTCACGTTGAGAAAGAGGGCAGATTTTTCTAAGCTTGAGCTGTGCAGATTTTTCTATACAGTGCAAGATGGTTTTATTTTGGGTTTCTCTCCCAAAAGGGATGGGCATGTGAGTGCAGGGGGAGTCCTCTCACACAGAGCCTAATTCAGCAAAGCAGTGAACGGGAACCCAGACTGGTTGAGCAAGAGAGGCTCAGTGAAATCCCACTACATCAGGGGGCATCCCAGAAGAGGGGTCCAACCTGTCACAATAATATTAACCTGAATTATGGCAACTAGTATTAATATCTCAAAATGTAAAACTATGTCTATTGGCAGTGACTGCAAACGCAACATTATCGGTCATGTGGAATTAACTCCCTTTATCCAAAAATCATTCTTTTACAGCATGATCACAAAAAATATTTAATGCTGTTGAAATACTGTTTCCCATCTACCAGTAACTTTACAGAACTCCTCTCCCACGACTGAGCTTCCCCACTGAGAGCATACCACATGGGCTAATTATGTAACACCCGATTATGTAATTCCAGATTAAACTAATATAATTCTAGCACGGGTCCACTGAAGTTGATGGTGTTAACAACAGAGGGGCGAGTTCAGTGGAGTGAGATCAGACTCTTGCTCATACTTTGCAGGCCTATATGTTAGCATTCCATTCTCACGTCTCAAAATAGTTCAACATAAAGCCTGGTTTAGCCCACATTTCCTTCCCACATGTTAACTATTGCACAATATCCCATTGCCAGTTATGCTAAATGTAACTTTCCCCTGAACTGTGTGTATACGCTTTTGCATTTCCTCCCTTCCTGCAGAGAACGTTTCCCAAGTGTTGTAAGAGACTAGTGCAAAGTTTATTCTTTACAAGTTACATTAACCTTCTTTAAAATCTCCAGATTCAAATTGTTTTCAGAACTCAGGAGAAATCAATCGGCATTTGGTGTGACAAGCATCCAGGCAGGGCCGGCCTGCCTAATGCAAGGCCTATTGAATTCAATATCAAACCTCCCACACTACCTTCAATGGGCTTTGGATCACGCCCATCGAATCCACGTTTATTGTAAGACTCCGTGCGACAAGGGTTCTCTAATCATTTTTAAATTCATTTTTCCCCTAGTTCATAGCGTCAAAAATGGCTGGGACTCAGTAGATTTGGATTCTAGTTCCCAAACACTGGCTCATTGGGAAGCCTTGGGTGACTTACTCATTTTCTGTGCCCCAGTTTCCCTCCCCACCAGTTTCCCTCAGTTTCTGTGCCTCTGTTTCCCTACCCACCTTCGTCACATATTTTGAGAGCCCAGACGAGAGGCGCAATATAAGTGCAAAGGGTTGTTGTTACTCCAGGAGTCCCTACAGTCCAGTCAAAATTCCCCTTTTACAAGGCACATTTCATTACAGCATACAGAGGCTTTGGGATCCTAAGGAAAATGTATTGCAGAGCTGTATAAAACACACGTTATGCCTATACTCTGTGTTGGGGGGCAACTGGAAGGGGGGGAAGAGTACAGGGAGCCTCGTGTCCCAGTGCCCTCATGCAGGGTGCAGGCATAGTTAATATGCAAACAGTGGGCAGTTTGTGGCATTCATCCCCTCTGAGGGGCGGGGGTTGAGGGGGTCTCTCTAGGTGAGGTGGGGCAAAGTGATGGCCTGGGGGCAGAGTGCCCAAGTAAGACTTAAGCCTCTCTCCATACTACGAGTTAGCTCCCTCAGCCTTCCCAACCGCCACCGTCACAGACTCACACAGCTCCTGGGAACCCCTGCACTAGTGGGTTGCCACCCACAGGGCCCAATCTATTGAAGCTAATGGGGCTCCTCCCCTGAGTCAGGCTTGGAGGATCAGACCCATGATCTGGAATCTGAGAGCCCTGGCTGAAGTTAACGGACATCTCCCAGTAGGCTTTAATGGGCTCGTCAGTCATTTAACCATTTCCCCTTAACAGCTGCTCAGACTCTCCGCTCCCAAAGAGTGGGCACATTGTTGTTTCTAAGATAAAGCATGCCAGGAGTTGCACACTCCTGGATTAGCTCCATGCAAGGCAGATTTAAAGGCATTATTCATTATTATGTGATAATGCTGTTCTCAGGTCCCGGTAAAGCAAGTTGAACCTTAAAGCATCTTTTTTGGGTGCAAATTTCTGTTGCCTAAACGTTTTACTGATGCAAATGAGCCAAGGGCACTGTGGGTAAATGAGACCGTTAACTCCTAAAGGATCTGTGCTGAAATATTCATAGACAACCCAGCAGAGCTGCAGCAAGTGGATTTCATACGGATGCAAATGCAAGAAGGAAAAAGTCTGTCGCTGTTGTTTTGCTTCATAGAAAAACAACTGCTCTTAAGGAAACCACAGTTTCAAGGGGGCTAAAATTGGGACCGGTTTTAATCAGTAGCCTTCACACTTTATATGAGCCTGCGTGTGGTGCAGAACCACACGGTCCCCACCATGTGCTGCAGTGCCAGTACCCTGCCTGCAGGACCCCCCAAATCCTAACACACACACGGTGCCACCCATTGCACAGCAAATACACAGTGGTTCCGTGGCCAATGGGTCCTTACGCAGCCATGGAGGCAGAAGCAAGGATGTGTCCCACACTGACGCATGCTCCCCGAGCATTCACTCGGGAGCTTGGCAGCAGCCCTCGCTTTCATGATGCAAGAGAAACAGACTTGGGGGGGGGGGAAGGAGTGATTCACTTCCAGGCCAGTCTCCATTGGCATCAGCCTGCGAAAAGATCATCAAAATAGTGCTTGTTCACAGCCAGCTCTCGGAGGCGAGGAGCAGGGAAAAGAATGAAAGCAGGTAAGAGCATATCAGGAGTCTATCATATGAACCCTGGCTGCTTCTTCCTTTCTGTGAAATGGAAAAAATAATAATTCCCCATCTCACAGGATTCGGTTCGTTAAGATTTGTCCAGCCCTTTGACTAGGTATCACCAACAGAAACAGAGCAGAAAGCTGCGGTGTAATTGCAAAGAGCCCTGGAGCTGGCCAACAGACACATTTATTCTGTACAAAAAAAATATTGCAGACAGAAAAGAAAATCGCATCTGTGTTAGACCCAGTGCTGGAAATTGTTGAGTGC